TTCTCTGAACCTTTTCCAGAAGTTCACTGTCTTTTTTTAAGCAGGGGCTAGCCGCTTGTATGCAGTACTGAAGTTTAGGATGAACGAACACTGTATACAAAGTCAAAAACGTTTTAGCGCCGACATGACTAAAAGCTCTACGTATTGACCATAACATTCTAATACCTTTGGCGGCTATTGCACGGCAGTGTGCAGGGTGATCTTATCCGCAACGCAACCAATGTAAACTTAATGTATCGCACACTGTCATTTGTGCGTTCAAGTAACCACATATTTTGTCACTTCATAATGTATTTTTAATTAAATAACTAGATTATGTAGTTAATTTTTCTCTGTTTTTAATTTCTATTCGCCACGTCTGACTGTGTTACACTGTACGTCCATTGCACGCTGAGATGATATCTTAAGTCATAGTGATTTTATTCACATAGTTGATTGTTTCCAGATAGACTGTCAGTGCATGATTTTACTGAAGAAAGGTTTGTTGTACTGTAAACTGTGTTTCTATGATCGACTTCCTGTTGTCTTCAGTATGAATTCATACTGAATACTGCTTTAAAGCAGTATATATGTATCTTTTTTTTCTTAGGTAAGTTCAACTGGCATATATTTCGTGTTTTGGTTTTATCGGCTTAATTATGTCCATTTACCTACTTTGAGCAACATGTCTTTGCAAGTGAAACAATAACTATGACACTTGCTTAGTTTAGTGTTCTTGGTTGTCGTATAATTCAGTTTAGTTGAAAGAATTATGATATACTTAAGTATAGTGCTTGAAGCCTGTACCGAAACAGATCAGTTTAGTAAGTAGAGTTGCCTGTTTCTAATGTGTATACTGATTCAGATCAGTCTGATTAAAAATAGAAAAAAAACGTGCCTTTGATGCTGTTGCTGTCATACATTATAAGATAGCGATAAGTATGTTTGGTGTTTATTTCTAAACTGTACATCTATCACTGACCATATTTCATGATCACTGTCATTAAACAATTTCCCCATCAATAACATCGGTAGCAAGATAGCTAAGTGTCTGAGCTTTTAGTTGCCCGAAAAACAGCAGTATACAGTCTTAGAAGATGAGTGTTCTGTGTCTCAATTAAATGCAGCTGGCTGTGGAAAAATGTTGAAAATCTTTTGGACAACTGGGACTTTTAGTTTATCATACACTTGCTCTGCTTGTATGTTTTCCTGTTAAACTAGACGCAGATGCATGGGAATACTTAAATGGGAGCAAAATAATAAAAGCATTGCAATACGGTACTAAGCCCATGTTATGCTTTGCGCAAGTAATAGTAGCTGACCTTATCTAATATTCATGAACTCAAGGTAAATCACAACTGCATAAATTCTTTGCTAAAAAACATGTGATTTGGTTATTTATATATTCCACATATCTGACTAAATTCATCACCATTTTTTCATTTAGAATGCAACAGGAGTGAGTCTTCACAGATCATAAAAACTGTTTCGCCCTTAGAACTATGGCCCTATGGAACTGTTTACGGGAGATCCAACGAACAGCAGATTATAAAAAAAATGCTGGACGTCCATTTTAGTCTCACAACCACTTCCAGTATTTTTTGACTTCTTTTACTCTTTCGTTTGGAAAAATACAACGAAAACTGCAGCTTAACATTACCAATACAACTTTTAAACGGGAACTTGGTTCAAACCTTTGTTTGCTATTCGATTCTTAATGAAAGTTCTTGAATAAATTTCTGAATCTAATGCTACTTTGTTTTATCTACTTAATCGTTGCAAGAAACTTGTGATAAGCGAGCCTCTCAGCACCTAGTTCATGTGTTCAAATGGTTGTGGACTGAATAGAATAAGCTTTCGCTTAACAGGCTTCCGTGTCTAGTAGCAGGGGATCACCAATACCTCAAGGCAGAAAACTAGGTATGTTAACAATAAAAGAGGAAAAAGAAATTGATAAATCATAGTATGATACTATACTTAGTCCTTAAGAATAAACCCAGTTGCCTTTTAAAGGACTCCTGCGAAGTCGCTTGGATTAGCTCGGCCGGCAGAAAATCCCAGCATTTGACAACTCTTAAGGAGGAGAAGTTGTGCCTACAGTCCGTTCTGCTATGTTGTGTCTCTAGCTTCTGGGTGTTACCCCTTAGGTTAGTGTTGGAACTAAGCTTAATTAGGTGTTTTAGGGGATGTCTAGAAGTGTTAAGGTTATTGTAAGCCATTAGGTCACCTCTAAGACGTCTATACTGTAATAAGTAGAGGTTAAGTGATTGAAGGGGCTCTTTATAAGGTGACTTGGTGCATATCCTCGTCATTTCCTTGGGAGACCTACAGACTCGGGTCCTCTCATAGCTTATTCTAACCACCATGGGTTGTCACACCAGCTGATGGATGGACACGCGTTACACATCGTAACCGTACCTGCGTCTTATCTCATAGCTTCTAATTCAAATGCCATATGACAAACAAGCAATGCCCCTACCCGCATTTATGGAACACTAGTAACTCAAATGCACCCCGTATGGTACCTTATACTGGTTTACGCACTCGCTTAGCTCTTTAGTGAAAATCCCATGAGCCCCCCTTCCTCCATCAAAACAAATAAGTCTGTATTTGCAGCATATAGCAATTTTATTATTCAAAAGTAAGATATAACAATTAGAATTGGAGTAAAATGGCAGTATACAACAGATGCACGTTGTACATGTCTTCATCGATTAACTGAAATAGAGAATATGGATATTAGATTAACAGCCTTATTCAGAAAGACTAGTGTCTAATTTGAACTTACTGCGTGAGAAAGTTATACTGGAACTACGAATGTTTCTCGGGGCGTACGAAGCACTCAGACTGTAAGACAGTTGTCCAAAAATAATTCGAATATGGAGGTGAAAATTTGCAGGTACTTTTCATCGTAAGGGTGAACATATTAGGTACCAGTTGACATCATACCGTAAGAAAACGCATATTTGCGAGTGGTGAAACACGATCTATAAAAAAGTGAGCTTAATAACAGTTAATTACCTTTTTACTCCCTGATCATGACCCATCGGCTACCTTTTATGGCCAAAACAGCAAGCATACACTAGACACTGGTAGCAGATTTCCGGCTTTTCAATGTTAAGCTTGCTTTAACGCACTGAGTAGTGAGTACAACCCCTCTATTACTGTTATATGGCATATTTTTCATAACAAACCCTCTGCAATAGATTGGTAGCATCTGTGACTTCATCTATAGTTGTCGGAAGTCTGGGTCCTTTCGAAATCAGTACCGATATACCCTACTGCTGGGCACTCTGTATTAGTTTGACTCGTTGGTGGAATAGTGTTGTCCATAATACTGAAGAAAATTAAAAAACGCAGATTGTTTCCTTTCATTTTGCCGATAACATCCTAAAGGACTGTTAGGAACGAACATGCGAACAATTAGAGTCACAGGAGGCAGCAACAATTATTTTAGCTAAATAAAAACGAACTTCGGCTTCGGATATCTAGAAAACAAGGTAAAAAATAACCGATTATCGTTTGAAAACGTAAGGTCTTACGTTAGTACTAGCCAGCTTAGCTGAATAAATACAGTGACTTCATTAGCAGCAGATATAACCCAGAAAACAAAGCAAAATCAGGAAAAACTTTGCTCCAACGTTCAGAGTATTACACTAACTTCTGAATTTTAGCACACTGAAACATTAAATTCCGTAGCCACACAAAAGAAATAGCTGAAAGAAGCACAGAACGAAGAAAGCCGACCGCCATTGCTTACGAAGATGGCGGATGTAATACTTCCCGCCTCATTCTGATTGGTTGCTAAGCTGAAGGGCACATTTACGAAATTGAGTTGCGTTTAATTGCAGCCCAGTGTGCAGTAGTCTTTAAGTCTTGACTAACGATAACTCCTAAGTCACTATATGTCATTGAAGATTCGTCCTACATCATGCATCATCACGATGGCATCGTCTTTGTTACTTGAAGAATGAACAGACATGGTGTGGTTGAACTCAATTCAAACCTAAAAATGTCTTGATTTGTCCGCTTCTGAAAATTTTCACGAATTGTCGATGTGACGCACCAATCATCTTGCGACAGTTTGACCTTCAAGTGCTCGCAACCCCTGTCAGTGGATGATACCCCAGGAGCGTTGACTGGGCGTAATTCAAATTATTTTATTCCTCCCTTTTCAGGTACATGCACTTATTATTGACTTCATGCTTTATGTTTGTTTATAGTTTCCCGATTCTCATTTGTGTTTTATCTCGCATTATTGCTAATTGATTAACATCCGATTGCCTTACTATGGGGAAATTTTGTTTCACTAAGTTTTATGGAAATCCTGGGGAAATGCGTGTGGAAATTCAAGAGTTTTTCCTGGTCTGTTAGTTTAAGCAACGGTATTCAGAACTGGGTGTCTACTAATATTTCCCCATACATTCCCATACACCAGGGGAAAGCCAGCAACACCCCACTGTCTAGAGAGAAGCAACAACGTATGGCTGAACACCGATTACCAAGACGCGCGATGCTGACTACTGTTGGGGTTGGTTGGAAAAAAGTTAGTGACGGCCACACCGAAACGAGGCATCACTCCTTGGAGTCACTGACTTCTGGTCTGTGGCATGTCGGTAGATGCAGACTACTTGGTTGGGGTCAGCGCGACTATCATAACCAATGGTTTGAGACTGTATGTGACATCGCTCAGAATCGATCACAATGATGTAGGTGTATACACTCATTATCTTCCCTTAAACTGTGAGATTAAAATTGGTTTACATCTTTCTATGAACTAATTCTTTCTTCCTGTGTCCTTATATGCATTCTTTTTTTAATATATTACTTATTCATTATTATTTATTTGAACACATAAATATTGTATATTACTACCAGTAAAGTAACTGCTATGAATTTGGTGTTCATCCTGTTGTGCTAATGAGGTGTGGCAACTGGAACCGATGTATATATGTGCCTGGTCCTACGTTGCAGCTGACTGACTAATTGTTTGCATGTCCACATTATATCTCCTAAGAATCATTTACGTAGTTACTTGTGGAATGTTTATGCGAGAGACGTTAATCACGGCTTTATAAATGTTTGTTACAACAGACAAGTTGATGTTAAAAACAATCGCGCGACCATATTTGAATTGCGTTAAGTTTGTGAAATAAACTGCAAATAAAAAAACGTTTATATACACAGAAAGTTCTGGGTGCTTCGCAATGAAGTCCATACGTTTTTTCCTAAACTGTGGGGCAGCTTAAAATTTTTATTGGTGAACTTCAATGAATTTTCTCAAATATTTTGGTAATTTTGGAGAAAACCTAAATTTCCTCTAAACGTTTTGTGAATTTCTTCGAAATTATTTAAAATTCTGGGGAATAACCTCAGTCTTACTGGAATTTGAGGGTTTTTATTAAATTCATTTAAACACAAGCAGTGGTTATAAGGGTAACCAAATACGTACGTGCCACACAACAATAATGAGGCTGTGAAGGGATAATGTAAAGCGCGTATAATAAGTGAGCAACAAAAAACAGAAATTAGTGTATGAGTGGAATAATAATGATAATGTAGAAACAATTCAATTAGCAAAAGTGTAACCATAGATAATTATTTCAAGTACAGAATTTACGTTCATTTTGATGAAATTTAGAGCAGGATTGTCACTGACTTCTGTTCTGAGCCACGTCTAACAAGGTATCAACCAATGTTGCCCCATCTCTAGAACCTCAACTAAGTAGTCGTAAAGAACCAATAGAAGCCAGTCCTGTGCAAATTTCATGCCACAACACCATGTCCTGCTGATCACTTCCCTTTTTTCTATCAATCCCAGCGTCGGCAAATAATACACGACGAATTCTCTGGGACGACATTCGTAGGACATATCCGAGCCATTGTAGTTGGTATTTCAAGATGGTGACACTAAATTGTCATCGCTCTGCTCGAACACGATGCCGAACCTCTACATTACTAAGATGGTGTTGCCAATGGATGTCAGCAATCCTTCGGGGACAACGATCGAACACAGAGTTGTCTTACATCCTCAACTCGGAGAAGCTAGGTCTCACAAGCATAGAGCAGAACTGCTCTCACTGATTCGTTGTTCTGACTTTTTATAGCCATACTAACCACAAAGGCGCCAGGGGTGGCCCAGATTGGCACATGCTACCCTGACTTTCACTACACGTGCCAAAATGTTCTTTTGAAACCTCTACAAAGTTTTCATGAAGTTGGAAAATTTTTTCCCAAGATTGAAAAATTGTGAAGTTTCTGCCCAAAAAGACAACCAACGCTATTTCCATTTCTTTTACAGATTCCTCTGTTGGGACTGAATTTTAATATTTCATGCACAACGGACCATTATTTATGGGACTTTAGAGTATGTCAAATTATCCACCTGTTTTTATTGGTTTAAATTCATACGGGGGATCAGAAGCCTATGAGAACGTCTATTCTCTGATCCAGTTTCTTTATGAAACCCATCAGGAATTCGATCTTGAGGGTTCTTCAACAGAAACTTACATATTACCCAAGGACGAATTGACGCTAATTCAACTTGTCTTACGTGATTTTGACAAAGATAAAGTTTGCACATTTGCCTTAAACCTTTATGCCTACAGTACCCTATAAAACAAGAAGACATATCGCGTTTTTGGTATAGAATGTGTCGCCATCGTCTTTATCGGCATCGAATTCTTGTAGACGACAATGAATACGTGTTTTGTACTAAGGTTGACGAATACCTGAAGGCTAATAATTTAGTTGACCGGATTTTAATTGCTCGTCGCTTGTTGAAGGAATTCTTTGAAAATTCTGCACTGAAAACCAAGTTATTCTACTATCGTTATATTGTTCAGTCGAACAAATTAGATTGGTTTGAGGTAATCAATTGATTGATTGCTATAAAATACAATCAAATAGCATCTAATGGTTGAAATTATGGCAGATTTTAATGTACCACACCTATGCTTTCCATGTCTTTCAACTACTGAAAGCAAATTCTATTGTCTTCGGCAATGTGAGATTGATTTCAACACCCGATACAAGGCAAGTCATCTTTTTATACTTATTTTACTTATCTAGGAATGTGTCTTACTTGAAACCCTTCTCAGTTATCTTGGACTTGCAGTTAACATTAAGGATTCCTTACGTTTTTTAAGAATATTTAACCTACCTTACCGAGCATTGAATGAACAAACTTTTACATCGCTTCGAAAATTGGCTCGACAAGATAATCTATCAGTTACTCAAGTTAGTGCATTTACACCTATATTAACTTGAATTATATTTTTTTGGAATCTATCGCAATTAGTGGAGATGAACGTTTTTGAATAATAACCTACTGTTATATTTTTGTGATTTTTTTTCATTTTAAAGTTTCAGGTTGTATGAGTAGAATCCAGTCAGTCATCGACATTGTGGAATTCGCACAGATATGTCCGTTCTACACTTAAGCAGTTTCATAATCGCTTTTCAGCAACTTGATTTGGTTGAATTAACAAACTGTCTTCTATTTCATTACTATATTTTGCATTAAGTTACTCCAACAACTAATATTCTCGTTGAGCGAAGAAATTTCTTTTCAATTAGTTTTTCATCTTCTACAACCACCCGAAAATAAGAACATCCATTAAAGACAGACTGCCAGAATTCGCCAAATCTATGTGTATCTATCGTTTCAACTGCTCCTGTGGAGCCAGTTACATAGGGCGTACAATTCGGCAGGTCCGTCACCGCATTACAGAACATCATCCGACATGACTAAGCAAAGGACAGGTGAAAGTGATTAAAAGTTCTATTCTCTCTCAATTGGTTGACACACTTCATCAAGTCGGATTGAATAAAGCTTTTAAGGTTATCTACAATATTCCATCAAATCTACCACATGGTTTACGAGTGCACCTTTTGCACATTGCGGAAGCCATCGCAATCCATGTTCACAAACCTGACCAAACCAAAAGAAATTCGTACAACCACTTTCTCTGCCCTGGCCTTCAGTATAAGATTTCCGTCATAAGAACGATTTTTCATACTTCTTCCACTTCTTTTTTTAATTTTTGTAATTTTGTTTCTATTGCTTTTGAACTTTATAACTTCTCAGCATTGATCTCTTGACTTTTACGTAACTACTATCCTATTGAACATCCGTTAAAATTCTGTTCCTTCTCTGTTTCTTATATTAAGCAACATAGCAACTTCTTGATTTAATAATTACTTTGAATATTAATAATCCTCTTTCTTCCAATTACTCAATGTTAATTTAAATGTCATCATGTAATTATTGCGTAACGTATCTACTCGATGAGTATTATATTATTATTGCAAAACATATATATTAGTGCAGAGCCATGATGGCAAAATGGGAATTTTCACTATAATATTCTCGTTGTTTTAGGTAGCCATCTCATTTGTTAGTCGCATGAGGTTAGGGGACTCCAGCTACGCTCCCGAATGTGATCATCCGCTTCGTCGGTGGTCTTCAGGTTTGATTCATCTGGTGGATTCTATCAATAGGTGTCATGATGTATTGTCTGGGGCTTCTGATGATAGTTTGTTGGCATCGGGCACTGCTAATTCACTAATGACCATTGATGACGCTGTGAAATCTGTATGTCAATGTATTCGTGTTTCATGTAGTATTTTGCGGAAACCTGGTGTAGTCGATGAAAGTATGCATGGAGAAATGAAGACAACTATCAACTTTTCAGAAATCCCTACTGTCTGCGATAGTCTTGTTAAACGTATTTATCAATTGTCTTCCACAAATATTATTTCAAACATGTGTCGTGATACACCGGATAGAGTGAGTTTTGATCTTAAGTTTTTCTGAAGTTTTTTAAAATTTGTACTATTTCATTGGGTGTGTTTTCGAGTTATGTTCATTCATATGTTGATATTTCAAATAATAATTCTAAATAAGTGTACAAAAATACAATGGAGCTGGAATTAATATACGTAAATGATTTTGATATCCAATTTCTACCTAGTCAACTCGGATTGCTACAAAGATTTGCCTTCTCTTAGTTAGGGTTAGTGCCTGAGTTAATCATCATTTGTTTGATGTTACAAAAGATTAATCAGTCATTTTGACTTGAAGTTATATCCGAAGGAGATTTAACTATGTACTTCAAGAAGGACCATGATAATATCATGACAGTTGTACAAATGCATTTGAGAGAACTTTGGAAATCAATGAATATGACGGTTTTCACATTGTCATTTCATTTTATTTGTGTCCGTGTATCCAGATAGCCACATAAGTGCTGGTGGTGGCGTCAGCGAGAGCAGTTTTGCTCTATGCTTGTGAAACCTGATCTCTCCGAGTTGAGGATGTTAAACGACTCTCTGTGTCCGATCATCGTTGTCTCCGAAGGATTGCTGACATTCAGTGGCAACACCATGTTAGTAATGCAGAGGTTCGGCATCGTGTGTTCGGGCATAGAGACGATAATCCGATTAGTGTCATCATCTTGAAACACCGACTTCGGTGGCTTGGACATGTTCTACGAATGTCGTCCCAGAGAATTCCACGTTGTGCATTATTTGCCGACTCTGAGACTGGTTGTAAAAAGCGGAGAGGTAGTCAGTGTAAGACATGGTGTCGTCGTATGGAAAAAAGCTGCAAAGGGCTGGCTTGTGTTGGTCCTTCACGACTCCCTGGCTGGGGTCCGAGAGATGATGCAACACGGTGGCTAGAGACATTATCAGATATGGCTCAGAATAGAAGCCAATGGCGATCCTGCTGTAACCTTCTTTTACTTTCTTCATAAAAAAGTGGTTGTGTCTTCCTTAACTGAAAGATTATTATTATTATTATTATTATTATTATTATTATTATTATTATTACACTACCATACACTAGTCTGTGGTCGTTATTGTTCCCTTTCTTCTCTCTTATACGCACCTTACATTCTTTTTCTCTTCCCATTGTCATTGTTTTGTGTGGCGCATATATATCTGGTGCCCTCTTGTACCAATATTTATGTGTTCAAATAAATAAATAGTTTTCACAGGTTTGACAAGATCTTGTAATTACAGTTGATATGTAATCTTTCAGTTAATGAAAAACAGTGTAAATGATTCAAAAAACCTTTTTAATATAGAATGAAACTATGATAGTTGGCAAATTATATTTCGTATGCATTTATGAGTATTCAACTGTTAGTTTGTTTACTATCTTGAAAATTATAAATATCTCATGAAATATAAAATATCTTTTACAACTGATGATTATTAGTTGAACTAGTTAAACTGTATTGCGTTGAAAGTTTTAGCAAATCAAACCTAAAAATAACTAAACATTTAGAACGGACACTAGTAAGTTCAGATTTGCATGAAATAGATCCTAAAAAATGGCACACATAACCAGTTATTTCTCTGGTATTTGATATCCTTAATGTTTGAGTTCATGTTAAGAAGCCGTCTATTTATTTTTGAATGTGAGACAGTTTCATAGTGGTTTGCAACACTTGGTTTGTCATCTTTACATTGGTAGTTCAAACCTCGTCCCACCAACTATGATTGTGGAGTATCCAAATATTACAGTCAGCCCTAAAACGGTGTGTCTGAAAGACAATATGCATACTTGTACTTAATAAGTGAGTTGCATTAAAACGTTTGAATAATTGACATTTCGAAAATTTCTATGCTGTAATACTTTGTGATCATATATGTAAGAACAATTTTAAAATTAGAAGTAAAGGATAACTAATTTGATTTATTTAACCGAGTTTATAATTTGAACAACAGACAGTTGAATGAAGCTTCTGTTGCTGATGATTACAGGGTTTTTCGTGTTCTCCCTGATAATTTACCCTCCCTGTGCTAACATTGGTATTGCAAATTAAACCGATGTGTATTTTAATCCCTACTTCTTAAGTTGTCTATAACTGACTGACCATTTGTAGCGGCATTACTACACCTTAGAATTCCATGGTGATCTATGCTTCTGAAATAGAACAGTGGCTCAGTGGTTAAGGTGTTCTACCTTCAATCAATACGTCTCTGGTTAGGATCTCGTTCCACCTACTTTAATCTTAGACAGCCAGGTAGTATCACTAGCCCTCAGACTCAAAGTGTGACTCGAAATCAAGTACATAAATTTGCACCTGGTAAGTGAGTTAATAGTAATAATATTTCCGAATAGTTTATTCTGTATGACTCTCAATTGTGTAGTCTTATTTATTTTTCATCCGACTTTATATTTCGTCTACAATTTGAATGTCAATTTTCCTTATTTTCTATCCTGTGTACCAGCCCTTACATGCAGGAGGAAGTTTACGAGGTAGAGGAGCCTTTAAACTCATACGTATATTACTTGTAACTGAATCTGAAAGACTGAAAATCGCTTCGACTAAATATCCCAATTCATTGTCAACGACAAATAGTTCGTATTCATTTAACGATTATTCGAATACACCCCCGAATCACTTGAAAAAGTCTAATACACCAACTACCGATGGTCGTACATGTAAACTGCTTCCAATGTTTATGTCTCCATCTACACCAATCGTAAACAAATCATCACCATTTACCAGTGATCATATTTCTCCACAAATTAAAATGAATGATGAGAATAAATTTCCTCCAATGGTATGTTCTAGTTAAAGTAAATGATGCACATATATTTTTCTTCACCTGCTCGACTTCGAATCTATACATAACATACTTGACACTGTATTTCACCATGTAATAAATACGATTCTACACCAGTAAGGTTTGTAAAATTTTCGTGTGATTTGTTTAGATACAACCAGATATTTTTAAACAAAATACTTTTTCACTGGTTGAATTCATGAGTCAGTTGAAGCTAGATCACCATGGAAAACCTGGAAGCACTGGACGGCCAATGGTGTACGGTGGCTCAACTTCGTGGATTGGTTGAAGTTAGACATTAACACCGTTGGATGCCGGCCGGTTCAATGGTCTAATGGTTAAATGCTCGCGCGCGAAACCAGTAGGTCGTGGGTCCGAATCTCGCAGGGGGCGAGGTCGTGGATGCGCACTGCTGAGGAGTCCCATACTAGGACAAAACAGCCGTCCAGTGCTTCCAGGTTTTCCATGGTGGTCTAGCTTCAATTGACTCATGATTTCAACCAGTGAAATTTCTAAAATCTCCACAAAACCTCTTCTGAAAATACTTTTTGACGTTACTGTTTAATATAATGGCCTCGTAAAGTTATTGATGTTTCTGTCTGTAACTTCTTAGCACATATCGTCTCAAAGTACTGCATGCAATGTTTAATCACTTAGAGTAGTGGCCACATTCCAATTTGATTGATGAAATTCGACCAGCACTCACAGTTATGACCCGAATAGCTTGGCGGTAATATTTCAGACTGCAAAGTTAAGTGACACTTGTTTGAATCTTATGGAAACTATCAGTTCCCTCAAGATTGCAGGTGCAATTTGCTAACGACTGTTAGCTGGCATAAAACCTAAGTACGGTTTCCTGTCGACTACCTCCAATCGTCTAACACTGTTCGAATAAAGGATTTGTGAGTCTAAATCCACTTGATTGCATTGTCTCGTAGCTTATGAAGACAAACAGAATGCTCTAACAGTTACCTATTTCAACACATTCGTTTTTTATCCTATTATGTCGCCTCGTAACTGACCTTATCTTCATTTTTACTAATCAATGATTGGCACAGCAAACACTGTAATGATTTACGTAAAATATGTTCTAGTCAGAAAAACCAATTTTTTAATGGGACCACATGTTGAAAAACTAACTCCATATTTACTGTCTATTTTAAGGATGATTTAAATGTTGTTACCAAATATGAACGTTTCTGTAGAAACAACTGTCCTCAACATTCTCAGCCGAGGTAGCTTAGGCGTTGTATACATGATTACAAATTGCTGAACTAAGGCATTATCCAATGATCAAATTGAAGTCTCTTCATAATTATTGATTGGCGAAAGTGAAAGGAGGAAAACGAATATCCGGCACATAAACCTCGTTGGTGGATACGAATAACCACCTAAGAGAGTTGCAAAACCCTAACTCCCAAATAAATGCTATCCATAGGCTTAAGGACTTAACCTATACTAGTCACAGGCTACCATGAAAAAGCATTGGATCACCATACACAAAAACCTCCATAGCCAGTTTAACACCATTCTGTTGCATCAGAAATAAAAACGATTAGCATATGATGCTGTAGTGTTTCCATTGTACAGCTAGACATTTAGTCCCCGATACCTTCATCTTTATGTACAGCTTATTCTCAGTGGTCCATCATCAGTTCTCAATACATTGATGATGTATACCCCATAATTAGTATGCAACAATTTTTTCATTGTCTGCAGAATATCACTGATAACAAAAGGTTACTCTCTTTACCCTTCCTGATTTGTTTCTGTACATTGGTGGGGAGAGAAGCTCTCTCGAAATGCTTTCACCTGGCCATATGCATACAACCACTGCCAGGGAAGTCCTACTCAATGCCTTCTCGTCGCAGGGGTGTATTTTTTAAAGACATTGAGAGGACGAAAAGCGAATGTCTGACGCTTTAACCGGGTTGGTGGACACAGAGTCTACCTAGGTGGGTTGAAAAACCCTAATTCCAAACCAATGGACTTCAGTATCCTGAAGGAACAAGTGGCGTATGGACCAATCTTTGGTCATCGGCTACCATGGGACTGCATCTCCTGGCGTTGCTCTACTGCCTTGTTGATTAAACCTTAAGGTCAAAGGATCTGGATATGACTCCCAAAGAAAACCATCTACTTCGGTTTATTTATTTATTTATTTGAACACATAAATATTGGTACAAGAGGGCACCAGATATATATGCGCCACACAAAACAATGACAATGGGAAGAGAAAAAGAATGTAAGGTGCGTATAAGAGAGAAGAAAGGGAACAATAACGACCACAGACTAGTGTATGGTAGTGTAATAATAATAATAATAATAATAATAATAATAATAATAATAATAATAATAATAATAATCTTTCAGTTAAGGAAGACACAACCACTTTTTTATGAAGAAAGTAAAAGAAGGTTACAGCAGGATCGCCATTGGCTTCTATTCTGAGCCATATCTGATAATGTCTCTAGCCACCGTGTTGCATCATCTCTCGGACCCCAGCCAGGGAGTCGTGAAGGACCAACACAAGCCAGCCCTTTGCAGCTTTTTTTCATACGACGACACCATGTCTTACACTGACTACCTCTCCGCTTTTTACAACCAGTCTCAGAGTCGGCAAATAATGCACAACGTGGAATTCTCTGGGACGACATTCGTAGAACATGTCCAAGCCACCGAAGTCGGTGTTTCAAGATGATGACACTAATCGGATTATCGTCTCTATGCCCGAACACACGATGCCGAACCTCTGCATTACTAACATGGTGTTGCCATTGAATGTCAGCAATCCTTCGGAGACAACGATGATCGGACACAGAGAGTCGTTTAACATCCTCAACTCGGAGAGATCAGGTTTCACAAGCATAGAGCAAAACTGCTCTCACTGACGCGTTGTAGTTCGGACCTTTTACAGCCAGACTGACATCACGAAGGCGCCAAAGATGGCCAAGATTGGCATAAGCATCTCTGGCTTTTACTATACGTGCATTGATCTCATCACTCACGCCACCACCAGCACTTATGCAGCTACCCAGATAAACGAACTTCTCGACTACGTCTATCTGCTCACTATCCAAAGTGAGTACAGGATTAGAATCCTGCCAGTCTTGTAAAAGTACTTTGCACTTCGAATGTGCAAAGCACATACCATAACTACGGACGCTCATTGAATGCGGATTGCATGGCTTGGGCATTATCACTCAGTAAGACAATATCATCCGCATACTCAAGGTCGAGAAGTTTTTCTCCAGGCAACAGATCCACACTCATTACTTACATCCATCAGGGCTGTTTTAAGAATTTCGCCGATGGCAAAGTTGAAGAGGAATGGTGAGATTGGGCAACCCTGTCTAACCTCACTGCTCGAATGGGACAATGGAGAAAGGTGGTTGTATGTCCTCACTCTGCCTGGGGTGTTTGTATATAGGGCCTTTAGGATGTTAATAAACTTCTCAGGCACACCCTCCTTCAATAGACAATCACAAAGAACAGTCCTGTCCAACGAATCGAAGGCAGCCGTGATGTCAAGAAACACTCCGATTGTTGGCCTGTGATAAGTATGGCGGTGTTCTAACATTTGGCGGAGGGTGAAGATATGATCAATACATCCTCGACCAGAACGAAACCCAGCCTGCTCCTCGCGAGTCAATCTTTCTCGGGTTTTGAACAACCTACGACGTACGACGGAAGCCAATAGCTTGGACGCAATCGGAAGTAGACTTATCTACCGATAGTTGTTACAGGAACGACGTGAAGCCTTTTTGAAGATAGGGACAACTATTGACTCGTTCCATGACATTGGTACACTCTCTAGTTCCCAAACCTTTGTAAACAATGTCGTCAGTCCGTTATTCAGAAAGTCACCACCATCTTTAAAAAGAGCCGGAGGTAAGTCATCTGAGCCAGGTGATTCGTAACTTACTAGCAACAGAAGTTGCAACCAGCTTGCTAACATCAATCCGTTGATGGCGGTCACTTCGTTGGCCACTGGAAAGTAAGGTAAGATTGGAGCAGTCCAAGGCATGATCAGAGTCCAGATAGGTACTCCAAAAGGAGCCGCAGTCTTGTACACAACCACGCCAGCGGTAGCTGATCGCGATGTGATCAATCTGAGTCCAGGCTTGAGATGCAGAGGGATGACGCCAGCTGGCACAATAATAGTAATGATAATAATTTGAATCATTTGATTGTTATTTGAAGCGAGAAAAGTAGTTTCCATATTTATAGAGAGTTCATCATTTGCATGTGGGCTGTGATACTGCTCGGGTGCCCAAACCGAAGCAGATGGTTATCTTAGGGGGCCACACCCCGAGCCTTTCACCTATAGGTCTAACCCACAAGGCAGTGGAGCATCGTGAGGAGATGCAGTCCCATGATAGCCGGTGACCAACGATTGATTCATACGCCATTTGTTCCTGCAGGATACTGGAGCCCATGTGCACCATTGGTTTGTGATCCGGTCAAAGCGCCGGACATTCGCTTTTCGTCCTCTCATTTTCGTGAACAACACCCCCGCTACGAGAAGGCAATGAGTAGGACTTCCCTGGCAGAGGCTGTATACGCGTGGCCGTGTGAGAGTATCTCGAGAGGGCGGGCGGACCCACCCCGCTCTCGGCCATACCAGGGCATTTGGGGGCCGAAAGCAAGAGAGATGGAAAAGTCAGCTGCATTAGGTAACAGCATGCAACTGCCTCACGAAAAGTTTTCTCATCAGTATCTAGCTATTTACTGCTTACTTTTATAGCCTAAACGAACTTTCATGTCTCATTATCAATCTAACCTAGATTGGGTTAGCGGTCATTGTTCTCCATTAGTTAGTTATGCTGACTCCATTAATGAAACCAGTTCATTACCATGTTGGCAAGTTGTCAATGAAGATTCACAATCCAATATATCATTCATTAAGTAAGTGTGTTAAATTATTACTAATATTTCTATCATTATGTTCATATTGTAAATACTGAATGTGTTTAAAATCAATCATCTATAAGTAGCGTAAAACCTGGCCCGGTTCAAGTTGCAACATCACATTAGTACAACGAGATGAAATTAGCAAGGCAAGTATCAGAATAGTAGTTGTAATAATATCAGTGGTAGGATGTAGACTAGACATATTTATTTATTATTTATTTATTTATTTATTTGAACACATAAATATTGGTACAAGAGAGCGCCAATATATATGCGCCACACAAAACAACGGGAATTCGAAGAGAAGTAGAAAGAAAAAAAAAAAAAACTAAGGAACGCAAAAGAAAAGGAGAGTAATGACGAAGAGGTACAATCAGAAGAAATCTTTCAGTTAAGGAAGACAACCACTTTTTATGAAGAAAGTAAAAGGTTACAGCAGGATCGCCACTGGCTTCTATTCTGAGCCATATCTGATAACGTCTCTAGCCACTGTGTAGCACCATCTCTCGGACCCCAACCAGGGAGTCGTGAAGGACCGACACAAGCCAGTCCTTTGCAGCTTTCTTTCATGCCACGACACCATGTCATGCACTGACCACCTCTCCGCTTCTTCCAACCAGTCCCAGAGTCGGCAAATAATGCACGACGTGGAATTCTCTGGGACGACATTCGGAGAACATGTCCAAGCCACCGAAGTCGGTGTTTCAAGATGGTGACACCAATTGGGTTATCATCTCTGTGCCCGAACACACGATGCCGAACCTCTGCATTACTGACATGGTGTTGCCACTGAATGTCAGCAATCCTTCGGAGACAGCGATGATCGAACACAGAGAGTCGTCTAACGTCCTCAACTCGGAGAGGCCAGGTTTCACAAGCATAGAGCAAAACTGCTCTCACCGACGCGTTGTAGATCCGGCCTTTTACAGCCAGACTAACATCACGAAGGCGCCAAAGGTGGCCCAGATTGGCATAAGCCGCTCTGGCTTTCACTATTCGTGCATTGATCTCATCACTCACACCCCCACCAGCACTTATGCAGCTACCCAGATACACGAACTTCTCAACTACGTCTATCTGCTCACCGTCCAGGGTGAGTACAGGATTAGAATCCTGCCAGTCTTGTAGAAGTACTTTGCACTTCGAAGGTGCAAAGCACATACCATACCTACGGACACTGATTGCCAACTGATTAAGTGCGGATTGCATGCATTGGGCATTATCGCACAGTAAGACAATATCGTCCGCATACTCAAGGTCGAGAAGTCTTTCTCCAGGCAACAGATCCACACCACCATTACTTACATTCATCAGAGCTGTTTCCAGAATGTCATCGATGGCAAAGTTGAAGAGGAATGGTGAGATTGGGCAACCCTGCCTAACCCCACTGCTCGAATGGAACAATGGAGAAAGGTGGTTGTATGCCCTCACTCTGCCTGAGGTGTTTTTATACAGGGCTTTTAGGATGTTAATAAACTTCTCAGGCACACCCTTCTTCAACAGACAATCCCAGAGAACAGTCCTATCCAACGAATCGAAGGCAGCCCTGATGTCAAGAAACACTACGATTGTTGGCCTTTGAAAAGTATGGCGGTGTTCTAACATTTGGCGGAGGGTGAAGATATGATCAATACATCCTCGACCAGAACGAAACCCAGCCTGCTCCTCGCGAGTCAATCTTTCTCGGGTTTTGAACAACCTACGAAGTATGACGGAAGCCAATAGCTTGGACGCAATCGGAAGTAAACTTATCCCCCGGTAGTTGTTACAGGAACGACGTGAACCCTTTTTAAAGATAGGGACAACTATCGACTCATTCCATGACGTTGGCACACTCTCTAGTTCCCAAACCTTTGTGAACAACGTCGTCAATTCCTTAGTCAAAAAGTCACCACCATCTTTAAAAAGAGCCGGAGGTAAGTCATCTGGGCCAGGTGATTTGTAACGCTTCAAGAGTTGGAGTTCCTTGCGGACTTCCTCCTCATTTGGTGGATCAGTCGTCACCGGCCATGGAGGGCAGGACAGTCTGACCGATGTTGCCGGAGCAGCAGGCCAGTTGAACTGCCCTTCGAAAAATTCTGCCCATCGTCCAAGACGTCGATGGATGTTAGTGATTGGCATCCCATCATCCTCGCAGATTGTTTCACTCACACCAGACTTCTTGCTGCCAGTGGCTCGGATGAGTTGGAAGAGCTTCCGGTAGTTACCAGATGCAGCTGCTGCTTCCAGCTCATTAGCACGCATCGACCACCAGGCTTCTCGGTCCTTACGCAAGCTTTGCCCGATTTCCTTACGTAAAATCCTTCGTTTATGGTCAAACTCACGGTTACCCGGAGTAGACCGACGGGCTTCAATGAGTTGTAAGGAACCAGAAGAAACCCAGTGCTTAAAAGCGGGACGTTTCGCAAACCCACAACTGACTGTTCCCGCCATTTTCATGGCGTCATGCAATTGCAACCAATGCTCATCTATACTTTTCGGTGGAGTGGTAGCTAGCCTAGAGGCTAGCTCGGTTCGATACTTACTTGCAACAGAAGTTGCAACCAGCTTGCTAACATCAATCCGTTGATGGCGTTCACTTCGTTGTCCACTGAAAAGTAAGGCAAGATTGGCGCAGACCAAGGCATGGTCAGAGTCCAGATAGGTACTCCAAAAGGAGCGGCAGTCTTGTACACAACCACGCCAGCGGTAGCTGATCGCGATGTGATCAATCTGAGTCCAGGCTTGAGATGCTGAGGGAGGACGCCAGGTGGCACATCGGCGATGACTGTGCCGAAAGTTAGTGCTAGCCAGAAACAGGTTGTGGTCTGTGCAAAGTTGCAGTAGACGGTCCCCGTTATCTGACCTGCGACCAACGAGTCCCCATCGGCCACCTAAACGACTCTCTTCTGTGCCTAGACGCCCGACCTGAGCATTCAAGTCTCCGGCTAGTACTACAATATCTGTCGAACGCACTTTCTGGAGAAGAACTGATAACTGGTGGTAAAACTCATCCTTGATTGCATCCGGGCTGCAATCTGTCGGGGCATAGGCGGAGATGACGAAAAGACATCGTTTCTCACGCCGATTTCTTCTCACTTTGATGGAACTTTCTAATCTAACAGCACATAACCGACTGTTAATGGGGATCCAATCGACTAGTGCTGCCTCAGCTCTAGCGCTTAGTGCGACACCAACGCCAGCAAGACCAGACGAAGATGCCACAGGGTCCCCGGATAAGCGCACGTAAAACAAGCTTTTTGAAGTGACAGATGTAGAGCGAATTTGTAGTACTTCGCTAGAGTCTTGAATACGGGTCTCGGATAGACAACAAACATCAATATTAAGACTTTCCAAAGACATAGCCAGCCCTATCTGTTGACCAACCTGCATAAGCGTGCGAACGTTGAAGGCAGCCAGTTTGAATGGCGCACGTGGTTTCAGAAAAACTGCTTCAGTACTCATATTCGATGGTAACATACAACTTTCAACCGGACAGTGACTCGAGAACGTTTAGATACAGTCGAATTTCCACCAAAGCCGAGCCGCTGTATAAGTATGAAAGAGGGTGAATAATGTGGGAAATAATAATAATAATGATAATAATAATAATAATAACGACAATAATAGTAATAATAATAGTATCAATAATGACAATAATAGTAATGATAATTATTTGAATTGATTGATTGTTTTTGTTTTTCGGAGCGATGAAAGTAGTTGCCAAAGACATAGAGTTCATCGTTTGTGTGTGGGCTGTGATACTGCCCGGGTGCCCAAACCGAAGCAGGTGGTTTTCTTAGGGGGCCACCCCCCGAGCCTTTGACCTAAAGGTCAAACCCACAAGGCAGTGGAGCATCGTAAGGAGATGCAGTCCCATGGTAGCCGGTGACCAGCGATTGGTTCATACGCCATTCGTTCCCGCAGGATACTGGAGCCCATGTGCACCATTGGTTTGGAATCCGGTTAAAGCGCCGGACATTCGCTTTTCGTCCTCTCATTTTCGTAAACAACACCCCCGCCACGAGAAGGCAATGAGTAGGACTTCCCTGGCAGAGGCTGTATACGCGTGGCCGTGTGAGAGTATTTCGAGAGGGAGAGCGGACTCTCCCCACTCTCGGCCGTACCAGGGCATTCAGGGGGGGGTGTAAGAAAAAATTTTGAGAAAATATGAAGTATGAGATCATTTTATAGTTTGTGATGTAAAGGAAGACAAAAAGTTGATAAATCTGCACTACTACAGCTGATTCTGAGTCATATCATTCAACGTGTCTAATTATTGGTTACTGTAAACGCGTGGACCTCAGCCAGATTATCTGCACCTATCAACACTGCTCAATCTAACAGTCATTAACTTCATGAATTTATGTTGCGTCTTAGTTTGGTCTCAGTTTTCTTACAACTTACTCCTAAATTAGCGCGTTAAAGTAGGCGATAGTTAAGGACATATATTACTTGTCCTAACCACTTCAGTCAATGAAGTTTTACTACCTCACCAACCAATTTCTGTCTTTACCTAGTGTTCTGCGTTTCTCAATTCTAACGATATTTCATGTCTTAGTTGCGTTTATGACTATGTACTTGCATTGCAAATAAAACAGCAGCTCCTATTGGAAATATCAAGAAACAAGCGGTTCAAGCAATATATTCTTAGGATCAAACCACTGTTTCTTCAAAACATTTGCGTAATCTTATGTTTGTTTCCGTTATTCCATTTAAGTTTGTAAGACATGAAAATAAAATATCCAAAAGGTATGTCTAACGTACTGTAGTTGCTATATTTCAATTTTCATTAATCGAAAAACAATCTCCATTGCTTTCAACCTTATACAAACCCTATTACATCATACTGATACAAAATAAAACAGAGAAAGAAAGCAAAAATGTTCAACAATTCATGTTTAGTGGAGTTTTTAGCCTTTTCATAATATATCAGTGATTTTCAAACACACATGGCTTCGATGTTTAATACTGTAGTGGAAAATTTCAATTTTACTTTCAAATCTCGTAAATTGTCGCAAATTCTGACTTGAACCTGCTCCTGATATTTCGACGTTAAGTAGAAGAAAGATCTGCGATAGTTATTCATTTAATCAATTTGAATTCTGATATTTAAATCAGTTTTGATACTTTTTGAAGTAACTAAATAATGAAAATATCACTTACCAGTAGTGTTTATTGCTAGGTTTTGGTATTTCAGCAAGTTTCAGACTTTTAACATTGTTGTTGAATAAAGAAAGTTGATTATTGAAAATATCTATTGATCAAAAGACTGGACAAATCACACAGTATTTCCCAAACTCTGGAAAGCATATATTCACATACTTCGATAACCGTATATTTGCATAAGTGAACACTACAGTTACTCGGAACGAGTTAGTTAATTTGTGTGATCAAGTATTCACTCATTCCGGTAAATTTTGCAGCAAGAAATATTGTTATAAGTCTCATCTCGAGCACCTCATAGAAGTGGAGAGCTTGATACTTATATTATTAAGTCCCTTAAAATTGGCAGCTGATAACCAAATACTTACGATTCGAACCTCTCAGCCAACCTCACATTTCATCCTACACTTAAAGTTTTCTCTCCTCTCTCTCTCTCTCTCTCTCTCTCTATATATATATATATATATATATATATATATATATATATATATATATATATACCATATTTATTAACTACTCGTGTCTTTGTGAGGTTGCGAATTGATTTTTCAGAATTATGTTTCCGACTTTTTTTACACCAATTTAGTAGCGGCTATTCCGAACATGGAACTCCAACTAAATTGTCTAGTCTGAAAAAAAAACGGTCAAGGACTTTATTCACAGAAGAAAATGTTAAAATTAGTGGTAAGAATTCAGATAGTATTGTCCTATGTTCACTTGTCAACAGGTTTATCGGTACTCTCACCATCATCACTGCCGCAACAACAACAAACTATTTTTCTATCCCTGTGTTTATGCTTGCTTTTCGTCAGCCCGAACCCGCTATATGAAATGAGTAAGAATGTGTAATTGCTTAACTGGAATAAAGTGTACATTAACAATCGGTATACATATATATATATATCCCTCTGACATAGACAAAGACATGTAGTGTTCCTTACTACAATCTCTTACCTACCGGCATGTGAGTACAGATATGTGATATGCCTTGGTTCGCCCAGCTCATCAGCCCTGCTCTTGAAAAGTATCTACCTGTTATATGGGCTGATTCAGGTGGGTGATATTTTATTGTAGTCTATTTCGTCTTCTGATTCTCCTAAGAGTTGAATCTGGTTGATGCAAATCGAGTGTTTCCAGTGATATGGTCATTATGATTCTGAAGGCTTTCTATAATATCTTGGCGTAAATCTGCATCTACCTGTACACGTAGATATTTTAGGTATAGCATGAATGTTTGAAAATGTTAGATCAGGATTTATAATGAATACACAGGATACTTCATTACCAATATCATCATTTGAATGAAATGCAAAACAACGTTTAAACTCAGTAACTCTATTATTAAGTTCAATAGTACATTAAAATTAGACCAAAAGAGACATGTTTCATCTGAGATACTTGGTTGACCAAGCTTTTCTAGGGGGCTTTGTACGATATGCAAGATGTAATAACCAGTTGAAACTTCGTAATATGATCATCAGCACTTAAGAACATGTACGTTCGATCGAATTGAGTTAATTTTTAGTACTTGTTTGTTGCATCATCTGACTATGGATAGGATGTATTAAGTGTTTGGAAAGACTTGTGGAATATCTGTGTATGTTGTGAATCAGATAACTGATCAACGACCGACAACATTGATGAGTCCCACTTTGACGTAAAGCTGGGACCCGAGGAAATCCTAGATAAAACTCGAAACATTGACCATGATGCCGAAATTATCGAGTAGTCAAATCCAGTACCTATTGACCAAACTTATTTTTCATTCGTTCAATACAGTATGTCTAGTAATCTATTTGGTTCAGATCATATACCTCCGGTGGGGGTTGCTTCAACTGCGAATCTTCGCAATTTTTTGAATTCTAATATAAATGAATCCAATATTGCGGTATCAGTGACCATGCGAACATATTCTACAAGTCTTTCAAATTCTCTTTAAAATATATAATACAACCTATCTATGGTCTGGTGGTTCAATAAACAAAGCCTATGAAATCTATCTAAAAAAATTTAGAATTTCTATCATGCGTACATATTTCAAATGCTGATGATCACGTAAGGAAGTTTCGGTTGAATACTGCATCTTATATGTATATTTCACAAACTTCTGGAAAAGACCAAAAAATATCTCTTCTACAAATGCTCATTTCTTCACAACGTTAGTTTGTTGCTTGTATGGTGCATTCGCTTTTAATGCCCAGTTAGTTGTACCAGTTTTTATGTATATTAAGTGGAAAACCACTGTAATAAACTTTGAACATATTAAAGCTAAAGGATATATATATATATATATATATATATATATATCCGTTCCTTAGATGATAAACATTAAATGCTCGGCCATTAAAAAATTCTTAATGAATTTTTTTTCATCCCATTTTCAAATACTTTTCATTCTGTCTCCCATCAGAATAATCTGGTTCTTTCCTGAGCACTTCGCTATGATTGATTTCAACCTCTCGTAAAACTGATCTTTATCGTCGTCATCCTTATCATTGGTGGGTGCGAGAAAAACAAGATCTGCGGAATAACATAAATTCATTCTACATGAACGAGGCAATACTTAAGTCATAATACTTTTCGTCCTTTCCGTTACAAACACTTTAATTTAAATCCCATTTAATAGGAGCTTGTGTTCAACCTATAAAGTACAGAAAGAGGTCTCTTATTAAGTACAGGAAGTCCCAAACACAATTGTTAACAATAAATCTGTCTTCATCTGTGATTCAAAAGGGAGATTTCAGGTAGAATTGATAAGAGTACTAAACCAGCGCTAAAAAAAGATTTCCTGCAGTTCTAGTATTTTAAAGATAGAACAGATTTTCCTTAAATCAATCAAAAATTGGTCAGTTCCCTTCTAAGGTCATCTTTAGAATTTACATGTACTTGCGGAAGCAAGTGTTTGGGAAGGACTATGATTAAAATGGCGTCTACAAGGTTTTCGAAAAATATTTCGCTCAAGTTGTGTTTGAAAGGATGTAGAATATTCACCAGTGCTATTATTAGATATTTAATGAATAGATGACGAAGTGTGGCGATTATAATTAACAACCAGTGAACACTACTTTTATTCCACTTTGCAAGGGCTACTGCCATCAAGCACTTTTGACCTGATTTTTGTATACAGAAAGCTATTGTAGTAAACCTCTCATTATCATGATAAGATAATTATATTATTTTAACATTCGTCAATTAAATTATCTGTTTATTATACTTTTTGACTTAAGACTATTTCCACCGATATTCATTCACTCACTATGTTAATTTAAATTGTATGTCAACTAGGTGCCTTAATTACCATATATTTATTAACAATATTTTTTTATTGATCGTCTCTTCATCATCATCTACAACTTCGTCCTCAACATGCGAAATCTGAATCAATCTTCCCGATCGAAGCTGCTACCTTGACGCGGTGGTCGGGCTTGCCTATCGTGATGACTCAACCGAGCTATATTGGCTGGGACATATGTTCCTGCAGGTTCTACCATGCCAGGCAGGTCGATTGGCGAACGGTAAGACTAAAAGCAGCAACTCAAGGTCTGAGGGCGAAGTCGTACTGCTGACTGTAGAGAGGTGTGACAGCAGTAAGGTGTTTCCCTCGGACAACCAGCACGACAGCGATGCTGCCTTCCCACAAGGAGGGATGGGGTTAGAAAAGGTCGACCCTAAAAATGCACACCTCACCTTACCTCACGGATTTCCGTCTCCGGCGGTAAGGCCCTTTGAAGAACGGAGCTAACACGTCAAAAACCTTCCACAAAAAGGCCGTGCGCGACCGGCCTCAAGCGGTTGTCCCTTGGGCTCTGCGGTCACGCTCCCAGGTCGTCAAGAACAACACTAATCCAATTTCCTTTTCAGGTTCCTCAAGAAATACCCTTCCACGGTGTGGGCAGCCGGGAAGTGACATCAGCCCTCATACCCGTAACAGCACAAGAGACCAAGGTGGTCACATTCAAATCCTTCCTACACCTCCTAATACCTCTCTTATCTCCCCGACTAACCCTCCTCACGTCTCTTTATCACCTCGCACCGCTAGGGCAAACGATTCGAGTACGTGGAACGCCATTCCTGGTGTCCTGAAACCACGCTCTAAACTACACGTAGGAGCTTTTAACGTACGAACACTTTGCCAAATAGGACAGCAGGCTTCATTAGCTAAAACTTTAGAATCCCGCGCCATCGATGTGTGCTGCGTCTCCGAAACGCGCATACAGGATCCGAGTAGCGTCATTCATTTGACCTCACCATGTCAAAATAAAGAACCAACTCGATTGACGCTTCGTTTATCTGGAAGCCATGATGCTGCTTCCCGTGGCCTCGCCGGCGTAGGTATAGCATTGAGTCCTAGGGCAGAACTAGCTCTCTTAGAGTGGATCCCAGTAGACAGTCGTTTGTGCGCTGTCCGACTGAACGGAACAGTAAGAATCCGGAAAGATAGGGACACTCGTCGTTGCCTCTTCGTCGTCTCTGCCTATTCTCCCACTGACTGCAGCTCAGATGATGTAAAAGATGAGTTTTACAGAAAGCTTTCGGACCTTCTCCGAAAAGCTAAGCGCTCGGATGTAGTAATAGTGGCCGGTGACTTTAATGCTCAAATAGGTAAACTAAGCGATAGGGAAAGACACCTAGGTGGATCTTATGGTGTCGTGGCTCAAAGAACAGATAATGGCGACCGTCTGTTGCAGCTATGCTCAGATAACCGCCTGTTCCTTGCAAATACTAACTTTAAGCGTAAGGAAAAACATCTTTTAACATGGCGACCCCCTAATTCGTCCCAACGTTGGACCCAAATAGATCACATCGCTATCAGCCACCGATGGAGGGGCTCGATAGAAGACTGTCGCTCATTCTGGGGCACATGCTTAGATTCAGATCATGCTCTTGTGCGAGCGCGTATTTGCTTGCGTCTTACTGGACGTAGGAAAGACGCTGCAAGTAAACCTCTTAGGGGCCTACTTAATGATAGTCAAGCTAAGAGTATATTTCAGGAACAACTAGGAAAACGGTTAGGCAGCCATGTATGTGATGCAGCATGGAATGATATCCGAAAAGCTGTGGAAACAGCAGTGATATCTGCTAGCAAGGTAAACCAGAAGGTTAGGGAGCAAAACTGGATCTCACAAGCATCTATCTCACTGATAGATGCTCGGAAACTCATTCCACCTGGCTCTGAACATAATGAAGAGTGGAGTCAGCTTAAGCGCAAGCTGACAAGAAATCTACGCAATGATCGCGAACAGTGGTGGGTAGCGAAAGCAAGAGAGATGGAAAAGGCAGCGGCAATAGGTAATAGCAGACAATTGTTCAGACTCGTTAAGGAAACCGGAATTAGGAACCCGACCGTTAGCGAAACAATCTCAGAGAAAGATGGACATATTATTCATTCTCAATCCAGGAGATTGGATCGATGGGCAGAACACTTTAGGGATCAGTTCAACTGGCCTTCAGCCACACTTCGGTTTCCCACGATCTCCAGTCAACCTGAATGGCAAGTTAATGTAAGTCCTCCGTCCCTTTACGAAGTTGAAAAAGCCATAAGAAATCTGAAACGAGGGAGAGCAGCAGGCCCTGACAGGTTTACTCCTGAGATTTTTAGGGATGGTGGTCCAGTATTAGCAATGAGATTAACCGAGTTCTTAGGCAGAATTCGGGAACTGGACGTAATCCCATCTGACTGGTCTCAATCACTGATTGTGCCAGTCTATAAGAAAGGATAAAAGTCCTCTTGTGACAATCACAGAGGAATCAGTTTGACTAATATAGTGTCTAAAATATTAGCTTCAATAATACTTCGACGCCTAACTAAAGCTCGTGAAGAGCAGACTAGAGAAAACCAGGCTGGTTTTCGACCTGGACGTGGTTGTATAGATCAGATATTCACACTACGTCAGGTTCTAGAACACAGACACACATTCAGACGCCCCACAATGGTAGTATTTCTCGATCTTAAGGCAGCATTCGACTCTATTGATCGTGAGGTTCTATGGCAGTGTTTGTCACTGAAAGGAGTACCAAAGAAGTACATTAACCTTATACAGGCTCTCTACTCGAACACAACTGGTAGAGTGAGAGCTTATGGCGAACAGTCATCAGAATTGATCACCTCAAGTGGTGTTCGTCAGGGCTGTCCACTCTCCCCATTCTTGTTCAACTTTGTCATTGACGTACTTTTAGAGATAACACTCTCCTCATCTAAATATACAGGGGTTGAACTTCTACCAGGAGGTTCACTTGTTGACTTAGAATATGCAGATGACATAGTTTTATTTGGTGAAGACGCTGACAAAATGCAGAGTCTTCTGACCACTCTAAGCAACAATGCAAGCATGTTCGGGATGCGATTCTCTTCCTCGAAATGCAAAATGTTGCTTCAGGATTGGGTTGCATTGACACTCGAACTAGTGATAGGGAGTGAAGTAGTTGAGCGTGTCGACCGCTTCACTTATCTTGGAAGTCTCATCAGCCCTTGTGGTCTGGTGTGTGACGAAATCTCAGCACGGATACAGAAGGCTCGACTAGCTTTTGCCAACTTGCGTCATTTATGGCGTAGGCGAGATATCCGTCTATCAACCAAAGGACGTGTTTACTGCGCAGCAGTTCGTTCCGTCCTACTTTATGGCAGTGAAACATGGCCGGTAAGAGTAGAGGATATCCGTAGGTTACTAGTATTCGATCATAGGTGTCTTCGAAACATTGCTCGTATATCATGGGACCATCGAGTAAGTAGCACAGTTGTTAGGAAACGGGTAATAGGTAAGGATGGCAAATCAATTGATGAAGTAGTGAAACTTCATCAGTTGAGATGGCTGGGACACGTGTTACGTATGCCCAACGACCGACTGCCTCGACGTGCTATGTTCAATGGTATAGGAGTAGGTTGGAAGAAAGCTAGGGGCGGCCAAACCAAAACATGGCACAAGTCCATGAAGTCACTGACAAGCGGACTGAACCATGCTGGTAGGTGTAGACTACCTGGTTGGGGACCGCGAGATGACAGCAACCGATGGTTAGAGACCCTGAATGACATGGCTCAAAATCGTTTGCAATGGCGCAGGTGCATCCACTTTTTGTGTTCTCCCGATTACTGCTTATACTCTTATTACATCTACCACTACGGGATTTGAATCGACAAGTGCATCTCTGTGCTAATGTGGTGTGGCAACTCGAACTGATGTACGTACGTACGAAGTTCTACGTTGTTACTGACTGACTGACTGAATCAATCTTATCTATTATGTTAAATATATTGTCTCTTGTTTCTCATGTGATTCCAAACTAAACTTCATTGATTACGTACAGTATATATACATTTTTGATAGTAATATTAATAATGTAAATTAAGGTTGTATGAGAAGCTAATAAGAAGCCGTAAAATATAATGAATTTCGTGATCTTCTTATCGCTTTATTTAAATAAATGATTCAATAAACTGATGTTTTTAAAGTGTACTTCAGTAAGGAGTCTTTCTATTTGTTTTTCCTAGTTGAGACTAGTTAAATTATAAATATACACTAACACGAACGTATCGTAATCGTAATATACCGTTTGAATATAACTTGACTTGTTTTTAAAAGAGTGATTATTTCTGTCATTTCCTTTTTTTCTAATATTTTAAATTCTATGTTTGTTTAACAAACAATTCATTGAATAAAATTCATCATGGATATACATACTTTTTAATTCTTAGGTGTTGGGGATGTACGCACCGACTTACTTATTAAAAGAAGCAGTAAACGAGATTCACAAGAAGTGAATAGGTATGAAAGAAGATCACAACAAAATATTAAACATTCTAACCAAAGAAAGAGTCAATTGAAAAAGACTTCATCTGCTAACAACAATAGACAACGACAACGTTCTTTACTGGAATTTTTAAAATATAGTGATTAAATTAAATGTATATATGAAATATTTGTATTTTTTTAAACGATGAATAGTAATTGTCAGAACTGACTACCCTAACAGTTTGACAGATTTCTGTTTGATAGTTTTTTAATACTTACCTCATGATATTTGTAACTTGTACACTTTGTATTATCTTCACTTTAATCTTTTGTAGCAACATTTATGCGTGTATTTTACTGAACTTATTTTATTGTTTCGAAATGTTTTTGCATAAATCTGAATGTCTTATTCTTCGTTCTTTTTTTGTAAAAGAAAATTGAAAAATTTACTGGTTTGATGATTTTGAAATGAATAGATAGTAAGGTGCTTTATGATATGAGAATTTAAACTGAACTAAATGAAATTATGTGTTGGATACTAATTAGAATAGGTTACATAAAATGATTTTGTTATTCAGTAAACATGTTAAAGTAGGTAATGTAACAAAGTAGACAGTTTTATACAAAATATTATCCTTATTGGTTTTAGATTCATATCATTTAGTCTAACCTGCATTTCCAAATTTACAATCCCCTTTTGGGGTTAAATAGCAATCAGTGATTATTCTGCATAGTAACTACTCATATTTTTATGCTGTATAATAATTTTCTCAAAAATTCAGTTTTGTTTGTTTTTATAAATTACTGAGAACCAGCTGTTAGTAATTGTTGACTGGATATACTTAATAATTCTTGTTTTAATGATCCAATACAAATCGTGCTTTTGCTAATTTGTGCTATATGACGGGTCTATGTTATATTTGTTCCAACGTTTTCGTTGTATCGTATTTACTTATGATTGATCACATAAAATAGATCATTCGTAGAAAGAAACGTTTATATGCAATATCATTAAGAATATGAAACGTTTTTTGTAAGTTTTAGTACGTATTTTGTTCGAACTGATAGAGGTTGATTTACGGCGTATATAAGAAAGTGAACTGGTATAACACTTCAGAGGTTATTATCGAAAATTTGTTTTACCGTATACAATTATAATGTGCCTACTTAGTCATTTTCACTAATATTTATCCAGATCTCATGTCACTACCAAACAACTGGAATTAAAATTTGATTAGTAGATTGTTGGAGTGATCCAGAAAATTACTTGCAGAAGACAAGCAAGCATCAGGAATCACTAAGACGCGTTTCGTCCAATCAGCGTTCACTTGAAGTTTTTGCCAAAAATATCAAGGAAGCGAAACGTCACATGTAGAGGTTCTGACTGGCTGATTGCTACACTGCTACTATGTTTAGTAGCATTCCAAAATCTAGCAACCCAAGGACATTCAGAATATTATAAAACCCCTGTATTTTCTGTATTAAAATGAACCTTGGAGTAAACTACTTTGAGTATTCTCTTTCGTGTTCAGGTCGCTGTATAGTTCTAGCTTGGGGGTTACAGCATAGCTTAGGGGACGGATTATAGCGTTCATTCCGCAAGACATCATAGATAAACAAACGACCCATGGAAGATTGGACAACCTGAATAATTAGATCATACTTAACATAAAAAACTTGACTGTCTTATCAAAGAGAAACAGCATAACACGTAAATGCTTCATTATCTAACAGACATCGAAAATTTAAATTGTAATCCAATGGTTATTTTCCCATAGCAGTTAATCTATTTATTTTAAAGATGTAGCAAAATCATAGTGTGAGCAGCAAAAACTGTAATGATAATCCAACCGATACGAATCGGCTTAATTAGCTGGCTAAGTAAAACAAAAGTATATTGCAAAGGATTGAAAAGACTATAATCTCATTTCATGTATAATTGTGCAAAATCACATTAAATGGCTGAAATTCATAGAAAAAGCAAGAATTTGTAAAATAAGAAATGAAATCCTATTTTCGAATGTTTGTACTTAAAACAGTAAGAAACTCATAATAGCAAAAATGAAAAATAGCATAAATTGTGTTTATTTTGACTTGTTGCTCATAAGTAATAGTTAAGCATGAATAGGATGTGACTGTAAACATGTAATTAATTCTTGTGGTTTTATTTCATTCTGACAAATACGATGAACAGCGACAAATAATGGAAAATGTCCAGTACGACGTCTGTCAGCTAAGATACTGTATATCTTGAAACAAAATAAGAACGATAATGATAACATGAAAAGTGTATTTCATTCACATTGCTTATTATAAAACGAGGTCTGTAAAATTTGGTTTGAAAAATTAATGGAAAAACGTCTAAATGGTAAATAACATTCATGAAACAAACCAAAATTAGTTGTTACTGGGTACTATGCTGAAGTTTAACCGTGTCAGCTAATATCCATTCCACTGAATGGTCGATTCATACTTTGGGAATTCACTGAGGTTTGAAAAATGCACCATGGGATATTGAGACGGTATGAAAATGCGACATACTTTATGTGTGGTATAGAATCCAGCCGGTATTCTTTCTATATTACCGATCTTTTATTTGACGTTTTGTAAAACCTCATTGCTCTTATTCCATCCAACCATTTGGATGGCTTAAATATTTAGTTCAGACGATGTTATTAGTATTTTTTTCTACAACTTTGGTTCTGCAGGATTCGTACTTTTGTATGATACCGTAAATCCCTAACGAAAGACATACTGGTTTCGATGTGCTTGGGTGAGTTGGTCGACTACCTGATTGTTTATCTGGAACGCTTTTTCTCTTTGACAAATAATTTGCTTTATTTCTCGCTAATATCAGTTTGTTATACTATGGATTCAATTTTACGAGTTTTTTGTAACATATTTTTTGGCTGTATAATACAGTGCCGGTATTGTTGAAATATTTTATATATATTCTATTCCATATTTATGGTACTGTAAATACAAATAAACTGCTGTCTTTTATAATTTGGTGTGATTGTACCAACATAACCATAGATGCTGTACAGAAAAGGTATAAACTATTGGGTGGAATTCTGATTGTTATTACATATTCACCTTGAAATTTCAGGTCACTATAAAGGTATCATGTCTTTTAACGGAAATAAAGCTCATGATTTTGGCCTTATCAAAGATAAATTATTTTATTGACTAACTATAATTTTAGTAACAATGAATAGAGTGGGAGATATATATTTGAAAAAAATATAAGTGAGATCTTGAACCAATTGATGTTAGACCATCACAATTGAAAACCTGGAAGCACTGGACGGCCGTTTCGTCCTATTGTGGGACTCCTCAGCAGTGCGCATCCACGATCCCGCGAGCGGGATTCGAACCCAGGGCCTTCGGTCTCGCGCGCGAACACTTAACCAACTGGACCACTGAGCCGGCATCCAATGGTGATAGTTTCTAACATCAACCAATCCACGAAATTGCGCGACCCACTTCCATTGTCTTTTTAAGTAGATAACTGTCTCTACCCGACAAGGATTAGCTCCACTGGTCACGGCTTCTCACTAGAACTCCGAGAATTCCCTCACGAAGCTAGTCACTAGTGAGCACATGTTGATTACTAGTATGGGGTTGTGGAGACTATTAAGTTTTAATTGAGATCTTGAACCAATTGATGTTAGACCATCACAATTGAAAACCTGGAAGCACTGGACGGCCGTTTCGTCCTATTGTGGGACTCCTCAGCAGTGCGCATCCACGATCCCGCGAGCGGGATTCGAACCCAGGGCCTTCGGTCTCGCGCGCGAACACTTAACCAACTGGACCACTGAGCCGGCATCCAATGGTGATAGTTTCTAACATCAACCAATCCACGAAATTGCGCGACCCACTTCCATTGTCTTTTTAAGTAGATAACTGTCTCTACCCGACAAGGATTAGCTCCACTGGTCACGGCTTCTCACTAGAACTCCGAGAATTCCCTCACGAAGCTAGTCACTAGTGAGCACATGTTGATTACTAGTATGGGGTTGTGGAGACTATTAAGTTTTAATTGAGATCTTGAACCAATTGATGTTAGACCATCACAATTGAAAACCTGGAAGCACTGGACGGCCGTTTCGTCCTATTGTGGGACTCCTCAGCAGTGCGCATCCACGATCCCGCGAGCGGGATTCGAACCCAGGGCCTTCGGTCTCGCGCGCGAACACTTAACCAACTGGACCACTGAGCCGGCATCCAATGGTGATAGTTTCTAACATCAACCAATCCACGAAATTGCGCGACCCACTTCCATTGTCTTTTTAAGTAGATAACTGTCTCTACCCGACAAGGATTAGCTCCACTGGTCACGGCTTCTCACTAGAACTCCGAGAATTCCCTCACGAAGCTAGTCACTAGTGAGCACATGTTGATTACTAGTATGGGGTTGTGGAGACTATTAAGTTTTAATTGAGATCTTGAACCAATTGATGTTAGACCATCACAATTGAAAACCTGGAAGCACTGGACGGCCGTTTCGTCCTATTGTGGGACTCCTCAGCAGTGCGCGCGCGAGACCGAAGGCCCTGGGTTCGAATCCCGCTCGCGGGATCGTGGATGCGCACTGCTGAGGAGTCCCACAATAGGACGAAACGGCCGTCCAGTGCTTCCAGGTTTTCAATTGTGATGGTCTAACATCAATTGGTTCAAGATCTCAATTAAAACTTAATAGTCTCCACAACCCCATACTAGTAAAAATATAAGTAACCAGAATGTTTAATCGTCGAAAATCTTCGATTCTGGTTAGTGTTCCAGCTAAATAATACTCGATTCAGTCAGTCAGCTTCAACGAAGGACCAGGCACATATGTGCATCGGTCCAGGTTGCCATACCGCATCAGCACAACAAGATGAACACCGGATTCATAGCAGTGGTTAGGTCAAAGGTAGTAATATGTAAGAGAAAGATTGCATATAGAGATATAGTACAAGAAGAAAGAATTGGTTCGTAGAAAAAAAGATATGAAGCGATTTTAATCTCTTAGTTTAAGGGAAGACAGGGAGTGTATACACCGACGCCATTGTGATCGATTCTGAGCCATGTCACCAAGAGTCTCCAACCATTGGTTACGATAGTCACGCGGACCCCAACCAAGTAGTCTGCATCTACCAACATGGCTCAGACTAGAAGTTAGTGACTTCAAACACTGATGCCACGTTTTGGTTTGGCCGCCCCTAACTTTCTTCCAACCATCTCCAATACCGGTTAGCATTGCACGTCGTGGTAGTCGGTGTTCAGGCATACGTAACACGTGGCCCAACCATCTCAGTCGATGAAGATTCATAACCTCATCAACTGATTTACCATCATTCCCTAATACCCTGCGTCTAACCTCACTATTACTTACCCGGAGATCCCAGCAGATGCCAGCAATATTTCTAAGGCATCTGTGGTCAAATACTAATAGCTTACGAGTGTCTTCTACTCTTAATGGCCATGTTTCGCTGCCGTAAAGTAAAACAGAACGGACTGCCGCGCAGTATACTCGTCCTTTTATTGATAGACGGATATCTCGCCTTCGCCATACTCGATTATTCACACACAATATTTTTTAAATTATTTAAGCAGTCAAATGCTAATTAGAATTAACCTATATGAAAAGATATTAACTTTAGGTCTCTGCTGAAATATTGTTTTCCAGTTTACTTCAGTGTGATAAAAAATAAACTGTTAAGTTCCACCACGTTTTATATCAATACATACACTTCTGGTAGGCTTTCTCATCCAGCCATGCGAATGGAATGCCTGACTGAGAAGCTTGAACTGAGAAAATAAATCAGTAGGTAAATAAACAATTGAGGCGTATACATATATCCTTCTGATCCAGACATGGACATGTAGGCTGAGATCCTGACTAGGGGCATAATCATTTTTTTCCAATAAATTGTCTATTTTCTAATTTTTCATCTACGGTTGGGTTTTCAGATGGCATGTGAGCATAGGCACGTAATATGCCTAGACGGACTCAACCAATTAACTCTAATGTATACTTTAATCCTCATCAGGTTAACAATACCGATAAATAAATATTTTTATACAGGTGGAATAATTTGAAGTATCTAAATC